GCTGCAGAAACTGCCACTGATCACACGCTTACACGCGTGCTGACATGGGTGTTGTCAGGATGGCCTGACAAGTGCCCAGATACTGAGTTCCAAAGCTTCTGGCACAAGAAGCATGAGTTTTCTACTTTCAAGGGTTGCCTGTTACGGGGTAGCAGGGTAGTGATTCTAGCCTCATTGAGGTCTAGAATCTTGATCTCTCTGCATGAGGGACATCCTGGTATAGTTAGGATGAAAGCACTTGCGCACAACCATCTTTGGTGGCCTGGACTCGATAAAGCCATCGAGGCCCAGGTGCACGAGTGCCAAGTGTACCAACAATCTCGGCCTGAAATGCCTCAGGCCCCAGTACATAGGTGGGAGGAAACTCAAACCCCATGGTCTAGGGTGCATATAGATTATGCTGGGCCCTTTCAGGGGCAATTCTTCCTGGTTGTTGTTGATAGCCATTCCAAGTGGCTAGAGGTTGTTCCTGTTTCCTCCACTACTACTGCCAGGACCACCCAGGTGTTGAGAGGAATTTTTGCATCACATGGCCTCCCAGATGTTCTGGTTTCAGATAATGGCCCTCAATTTACTTCTTCTGAGTTCCAGGCTTTTCTTCAGGCCAATCTGATCCGGCATGCAACATTGGCTCCCTTCCACCCATCCTCCAACGGACTGGCAGAGAGAATGGTGTGTACCACCAAAGATGCCCTTAAGAAACTGACTTATGGTAACTGGCATCACAGGTTAGCAGATTTCCTTCTTGCACGCCGCATCACACCATGCACTGCCACAGGGAAGAGCCCTGCTGAACTCCGCTGGGGTCGCCGCCTCATCACTAAACTGGACAGGTTGCACCTGGACCGGGTGGCTTCACAGGTGTCACAACCGTGGGCACTTAGGAGACTCCAAGTAGGCGATCCGGTCTGGGCACGGAACTATGGGCCTGGTCATCTCTGGGTCACAGCTATAGTCTGCAAGGTCTCGGGGCTGTTGTCATACGAAGTTGCCTTGGGAGATGGCTGCGTTCTTCGCAGACACATAGACCAACTGCGTTGGAGACTGGACTCTCACCTTTTCGCTTCTGGCTCTGCTCTGGGGGGCAGGAGGACCATAACATGCATTCTGAGGCTCAGTTTCACAGGCCTAACAGGCAATCACCAGCCGCAACTGAGGCTATGGGGAATTCATTCCAAGGTTCTGCAAGTGCTCCTAACAGGAATTCACCGGATAGGGGGTCATCCCACACATCCATAATTACTCCAGACAGGGAGTCACACCGGGGGTATCCACAGTATTCCTATATGTCAGATAGTGCTTCAGACAGGGAGACTGACCGGGGGTATCCACACAAATCACAAGCAGCAAGAGAAAAAGAATTCCAACAGGGGCGCTTGCCCAATTCCGCAATTGCTCCCAAAAGAGTTCAATAGCAAAGGGGGTTGCTGTGGAGGCGACTCCTGACTCTGGCACCTTGGACACGTGCTTGGGGGCCACAGAGTACTGGGGCACTTCCGCTATCCAGCACTCTCCATCTACTGGCCTTGGGTTTGAGGGACAGTGTTCCCAAGAAGGGTCCATTGTGGACCCGGGGATTTCCACCCCTCCAAGGTATGCTGGCTTGGACTTAGAGAGTCCAGCCAGCCAGCAGATGGGTGGGTCAACAGGGTATTTGGGGCAGCAAAGTCCTGGCCTGCCTAGCCTAGTGAGCGAACAGGTAGGCCAGGCAACCTCACCAGGGTCACCTGGAAATTTAGGGCAGCAACACCCTGGCCTGCCTTGCCTGGTAGGCAAGCAGGTGGGCCAGGCAATCTCTCCTGGCCTAAGAAGGTCACAGCGGGCCAAGTGCTCACCCAAACATCTTAGAGAATTTGTGAAGTTGCTGTCAAGTCACAAGGGTTCTGTTCATGAGGCCCCTGGATAACGGGTAGATTATTTTATATTATTTTTTTGATTTCGGATATATTTATTGCTTGAACAAAGTTGGAGGGGTTTTGCCTAAGGGCAGACTCGAGTATTCCACATTCCTTGCATTTGATTAATGAAACTATATAACCCTCTTCCAATGTAGGATGTACATGTGTGGCGCAGGTATGTTCTATCTAGGGGGGAGGGGTGTTGTGTCCTGAGCCTGCAAAAGCAGGCTCAGGACATTGCACTGGTCCCGGGCATTCCAAAGCTGCCTGGGACCAGACTGAGCGGTGCCAGCCTTGCGCGCATGTGCAAGGCATGAAAATGCTCTGTTACTTTGTTTGCCATTGTCTGGGTCTCCGGATGCTTAAAAGAGGCCTGCGTGCCTTTGGGGTTGTTAGAGTGTTGTTGAAGAAGAATAAAGAGCTGTTTAACTTTGCCATGTGTATTCATCATTCGCACACGAACAAAGTACTTAACAAATATATTTTTATCTATTGCTCTTTATTTTTAGCAGAAAGAAAGGCCAAGGCCAAAACTGTTTTAGAACAGAACTATTTGTTATTCTGATTTTAGTGGATAGAAATATAATAACTGTTCTACTCTGTGGCTGGAAAGAAAGATAGATCTCTTCAGAAATCAGAAAATGTGGCCTGATCTTTGGCTTTATTATCAGATTTACTACGAAAGATATAACCTTTAGCTTTCCTTTTGTTCACAAAACTATCTTAGGAGTAAAATGGATTCCCGTATTTTCTGGCTAATAGAAATTCCTGCATTTCATTGTGAGAGGCTCACAGGCACTATCTTGTTTCTAGACTGAACTCTATACTGAAGGATTCTTGGACATTTCCCAGTTATCCAAATTGCAAAAACTGGATATTTTTTGAATACCATAAATGCCGGCGTACAAGGCGACCCGGCGTATAAGACAACCCCTGTCTTTATAGCCGGGCCGCATTCCTAGAACGTCGTCTTATACGCCGGAAACTACCAGTATTTCCAGCGTATAAGACGACTCGGCGTATAAGACGACCCCCGTCTTTGGCGCCAATTTCAGCGCTCGCGGAAGTCGTCTTAGACGCCGGCATTTACGGTAATTACAGATACAGGAGTAGCCCAATGTAAGCAAGGAAATTCATTATTCATTCATTCAAACAAACAGAGAAAAGTGCAGTCAAGTCAACAAGTAGATTAGTCTATGGTCTATTTAGAGATGACAATGAAGATTATGAATTAGAGAACGATATCAGCAGCTGGCTTCACAAACTGCATTTGCTCATAAGACCTGCCTGTCACACATTGTCTGACCTTCCTACATCTTTCTTCTTGTGTATTTGCAACCTCTGAACATTTAATAGACCAGCTTTTCACTGAGCCAGAGATGAATTTATGCTAATTAGAGATTCACAAACAAAGTCTTGGAAGGAACCTTGGAGGTCTTCTAGTCCAACCCCCTGCTCTGGCAGGAAACCCTATGAGCTAATTGTCTATGAAGATTCTCAGTCATCCAGGTCATGGTGCTTTTTTTTCCAAAAGGCAACTGGACTTTGTTTTTCCTTGAAAACATTTCATTCTCATCCAAGAAGCCTCTTCAGTTCTGACTGAATGGTGGAGGATGGAAGGATTTATATTCCTTGCAGTCATCTGGTCATAGCACTCTTTCTGACATTTGTTGAGGTTACTTGAAGGTTTATCTGTGCCCTCAAGGTCACCTGAATAGTGCAATTGGGTATGAAACTTTCTTGGAACTGTTGAAAGGACTGTGTTGTTTCAAACTCATAGAAATATCCAGAGTTGGTGCTTTAAAACTACAGTTCAAAGAACAGTCCCTTTCACGTTGCTGGGCTCATCTACAATAGATTTTCTATAACTATCCAAGAGAACTATGAAAGTATGGATGCCTTTTGTAACAACATATGTGTGCAAAAAAATCACTCTCTGCTTTCATTTATCTTAAGAATGAGCATAGGAACTGTTTGAAAACATAAAATCAGAACTCAGAATGTAAGTTTCACTTATTAAGCGGGATATGTGAGTGAAGTGCAACACCAGTATTCTTGTTAATTGTAATTATATGAACATATGTTCTCCATTTCCCAACATTAAATGAAATACAATTTGTAAAATTATATTCATATCATTTTCAGCTTTCATTTTCATCTGGCTTGTATACGTATGTCATATTAATGGTTCCATTGCTTGTACTTTCGCTGCTAGTGTGGTTGGTGGGATCCACTTTAATTGGGCGGGTTTTGTCTTAAAGACATTTTCTTAACCCAACATCCTTCTTTAGGGCCACAACAGGGCTGAAATTCCTCCAGGTGGTGGGCCTGGACTCATAAAAAAATATATATGGTGACTGAACATAGACAATCAATGGGGGAGGTAAGCAGAATTGTAAAATCTTTTCATCAAATTTTAGTGTAAAAATTGACTTCAAATTCAGAATTAGCACATCAATATACCCTAAAATGGTCCATTTTAGTGAAAAGGGTATTGATACTATTACTTTAACTTCACATGGAATCATAGCAATAAAGATATTATAATAGGAATGTGCATTAACAGATTTCCCCTTCTCTCTAAATTTGAAAGCTCTTCGTGAGAAAATTGAAATAAATATTTGATGCAGTCTGCTTTAAATTATTCATAGAATTTAAAGGCCACCTTCCTCTAAATGGTGGTGTTACTTTAGGCCAGTCACTTTCTCTCAGCCATTAATGACTGGAAAATACACAAAAACAGAACAGGTAGCAATCAACTTGAATTGTTTTGTAACAAAAGACAAGGGTAATATTATAATTTGTTATTGTAAAACAGCTTCAATCATCTGCATTTAGCATAGGCAAGCTAACTGCAGATAATGGAAAATGCAATCCAACAACTCTCAAGGCCTAATAGCTCTTGTAGATACATACATCTGGAGAGAACCTAGTTTAAAATGATCTGAAACAGAAGTAGATATTTATTCTGAACACTACAGGCAAAAGGGCATAAAATAGGCCTTCAGATTCATTATTAACATATTCAAAGATTAAATTTCAGGTTAAGAAAGAAGTTTATTTCTTTCTTTTAAAGAAAATACTTCTTATCAAATAACAAAAACAAAAAATAATTATCAAATTTCAAGAAATTTGTTTATCTATATTACTAGAAACATCTTCACATATATTTATATAAAAATCATTCATGTAAACTCAATAGGCAATATGAATACATATTAGAAGGTGACAAAATAATAAAACAGAACTTTATCTATTTTAATTACGGTAAGGACCCTGTTTAGTATAATGGTTATGGTCTGGCCTAGAAATCCTGAAAACTGATTTTAGGCCTCCTTTAGGCATGAAAGCCAACAGCCTTCCAATTTTATTGATGTATCCAGAAATTGGGAAAATATATGTGGTAATAAAGAAGATGGAACCATAGTTCCACATATTTTGTCCAACCCTACTGTGTTTTTATAAGAATATAGATGAACATAGTGTATAAATGCAGACTCACTGTGTGCAGAGATCACTGTGCAAGCCCCAGAACCCAGGAAAAGAAGAGAGGAGTTGACACAGTTTGTGTCCAGGATGTGAGGGGCCGAAGTTCATTTGAAAGTTAATTTGAACTGGATGAGCGTGTGCCAGCATTGGACATTGTTTGAAATGCTGATTTTTCAGTCAAACTCTATTCTAGAAATGTCTGTAACAATCAGACTGCTTTGCAACAGCTGCACTTTTTGCTGCATAAATATATTGTGAGAAATCACACTCCAGTAGCATTGAGTCTCTTGGGGTTTGTTTGCTCCTCTCATAAAAATACTTTTTTTCAGAAAAGGAGTTCAGGAGGATGGGGCTATACCCTGATCAAAGCTTAAAGGTCAGTAGCCATTTTGTTTTTGACTCAGTTCCTGGAAGGGGAAGGCAGCCATTTCATCTACCATGAAGGGATCTGAGGATAGGAGAGCAGTCTGAACAGACATGTGTCAACCTGTCAAGGTTCTTTTGCAGTGTCAAGACATGAGGGGGGAGGGTTGGAGGATGAAGAACAGATTTGGTTCAAAATCATTAATATGAGAGGCTAAAGGTTTTGGGCCCACAAGTCCTTTGACTCTGGTAAAATATAGGTAATGACCCTGAACATGACTGTCTTGCTTGGATTCAAGGTGCAATTTGCTTCTTGTTGGATGTTTTAATTTTCTAATGTCAATTTTGCAAAAGATTCCTAAACAGTAGATGAAAATGAAACTTACACAATAACTTCCCCTACCTATATTTCCCATCTATGTTTATAGGACTACATTTTGTCAGTGATTTATAAAGACTTAATGTTTTGTAAACTTATTTTTTTTATAAAATACAGGTCTTGTACGTTCACTTGAATAATCCCTTGATTTCTTCCATTATAATGGATGATTATGTTTTAGACTGGGCTAGTAAAATAGTCTTTATTCTGTAATCTGCCAACAGATCAGCAAGGCCCAGCTATGTAAAGCACATTGTAAACATTAGACAGGAGAAAGAGGAAGATACTCAGGGAAGAGAGAACACAGAGAAAGCTTTGGAAAAAGAACTTGAGCCTCAGGAATCAAGAAAGAAAAAAACTACTCAGCTATTTAATAATTGAAAGAAACAAATCCAGAATTCCTATTGTTAGAAAGAGGTAAGCAATAAAACAACCAAGGCAATCTGGTATCTGGTAAGCAACAAAAGTTTATTTGTATTTGCAAATACCAGTACACGTGACATAGACCCAGATCAAGGCATGCAACAGTTTTTATAGCCCTTACCCCTCCCCCCATGCTCAGTACTGTTCTGGTTTTCCATTGGCTGGATACTAACAAGCTCCAAACCAATCCAGAGTGCCCATGAACAAAAACTCCCTACCAACATGTTATCACTAATCTTCTTTTGCTTTTCTTGCATAAATTAGTTATTTTTGGAATAACTTTGATTTTTATTAACCCATTTTAAACTTGAGCTAATCTCTATTTCTGTTTTGTTTTGCTGAGGAGTTAATGCTATCACACCCAGCAGTAGCTTGTAACTCCAGAGCCAGTTAAAAAGGCCAGTTCAAAGAAACTGTGAATACCTGCTGAGTTATACCTTCCTTCCTTCCTTCCTTCCTTCCTTCCTTCCTTCCTTCCTTCCTTCCTTCCTTCCTTCCTTTTTAAAGCTCTGTAAATCTTTAGTATATACCCCCTATACTATACCTGGGCTCTCTTTTTCAGACCTAACAAAGAACAGAAAGATGTTTTAATATAACAAAGAACTCTTCTTCAGCTAAGAGTGTCTTCTTCCCAGGAAATGTCTTGGAGGAAAAAAGTTCTAAGTTAAAGAACAATCCTTGACAGATTGTACTACATCCCCGTCTTTGGAGAAGTTTCACTAGTTGGAGACTCCTTTTCAGACCTGACAAAGAATAGAAAGACGTTGTAATAGAAGTTAAAAAGAACTCTTCTGCAGCTAAGCTTGTCTCCTTCCTAGGATGGGAAGGATAATGGCTCATTTGTTTTCACATTTCTTAAAACAGAAGGAAGTTTTAGACTAGTTTTCCTCAACCTCAGCAACATTAAGGTGTTAACTGGAAGCATTGCTGGCCAGGGAATTCTGGAAGTTGACACCCACACAGCTTAAAGGCTTTGTGATTGACGAACATTGCTGTAGATAAACTGTCCTCTGATAAATGGCTATCATGAGCTGCAATCTATTGGAGAATTTGTTTTTCTCCTGGACAAATTAAACCAAATATCACTGCATTCCAATTTGCTTGCATATAGCTAAGGCTAGGAATTTCAAGAGGTCTCTTAAGCAACTATGAAGCACAATCATTTAAATAAATTTGATATAGATATTCAATAGCAGTAGCACTAGGACTTATATACTGCTTCATAGTGCACTACAGTCCTTTTAGAACCTATAATAATAATAGTAGTAGTAGTAGTAGTAGTAGTAGTAGTAGTAATAATAATAATAATGGGACCTTGGAGGTCATCTAGTCCAACCCCCTGCTCAGGCAGGAAACCCTATACCATTTCAGACAAATGTCTGTCCAGTTTCTTCTTTAAAACTTCCAGTGTTGGAGCATTCACCACTTCTGGAGGCAGGCTGTTCCATTGGTTAATTGTTGTAACTGTCAGGAAGTTTCTCCTTAGTTCTTAGTTCTGCCTTCAGGCGCCTTGGAAAATAGCTTGACTCCCTCTTCTTTGTGGCAGCCCCTGGGATGTTGGAATACTGCTATCATGTCCCCCCTCATCCTTCTCTTCATTAAACTAGACATACTCAATTCCAGCAGCCTTTCCTTATATACTTTAGCCTCCAGTCCCCTAATCATCTTTGTTGCTCTTCTCTGTACTCTTTCTAGAGTCTCAATATATTTTTTATATCGTGGTGACCAAAACTGGATGCAGCTATTCCAAGTGTGGCCTTACCAAGGCATTGTAAAGTGGTATTAATACTTCACGTGATCTTGATTCTATCCCTCTGTTAATGGAGCCTAGCATTGTGTTGGCCTTCTTGGCAGCTGCAGTACACTGCTGGCTCATATTTAAGTGATTGTCCACTAGGACTCTGAGGTCCCTCTCATAGTTACTACTATTGAGCAAGGTACCCCCTATACTATACCTGTACACTTGGTTTTTCTTGCCTAAATGTAGAACCTTACTTTTTTCACCATTGAATTTCATTTTGTTAGATAGTGCCCAGTGTTCAAGTCTGTCCAGATCCTCCTGTATCTTAAGCCTATCTTCTGGAGTGTTGGCTATTCCTGCCAGCTTCGTGTTGTCTGCAAATTTGATGACTTCCCCATCTATCCCCTCGTCCAAATCGTTGATGAAGATGTTGAAGAGTACTAGGCCAAAACAGAGCCCTGGGGCACCCCACTACACACTTCCCTCCATGTAGATGTGGTTCCATTGAGGACCATACGCTGAGTACGACTGGTCAGCCAGCTACAGATCCATCTGGTGGTGATGCTGTCCAACCCACATTTTTCTATCTTATCAAGTAGTAGTTGTGATCTACCCTATCAAATGCCTTACTGGATGAAAACAAGCTCCAAACTCTTGCCGTCCCACTTAGTTATTTATAATCCCTCAATATTCTTTTCAAGCTCTTTTTGATTTTCTATTATCTTCCTACCTTTAACTGCTTGAACAGTTGGAAAAGCCAAGTAGGAGTAATCAAGAAGCAGCGTTGTGACAGGACTGTCTTAGGACTCCTTTGATCTTTGCTATGTATAGTTGCTCTCTTTTGCTCTGTTCTGCATAGTAACTACACAGCATAGCAGAAATTCAACAACTCTGAAATACTGAAATTCTTGCTCTTCTCAGAAAAGAATAAGGATTCTGGATCTATTATAATAATAATAGCTTGACAAAAGTTGAACAGACCAATGAGAAGACTATGTAGTTTTATAAGCTCATTGTAATATCATCTTTTATTACTTTTCTATCTATAGAAGTTCAGGAGAGGAAGAGGGGGAGGAAGATGAAGAAGACTGATCATACTTTTGTGACGGAGTTATATATTATCTAGAGCACTGTACAAATACTATTAAATATATCACATTATTTGACCTTTTTATTCTTATCCTGAGGCTTAAAAATATTTCAGAATACCTATTCTCCCATCTGAAACAACTGCAATTGTATGTTGGGCTAAGGTTCTTATTACTCATAGCCTTAGTTGCTAGCAATGATAAAATTGGTAGGATCCTGGTGCCAGAAGGAGAGGAAGTGAGGGGGGGGGGAGATGAAGAAGATTGATCATACTTTTGCAAATACAGTTGTATATTACCTAGAGCACTGAAGAACTTTCTATTGTTGTTTATAATAAATATTATTAAAAACATTATTTGATAGGTGGAACAGCATGGTGGCCTACTGGTGAAGATGCTCGTTTACCACCCAGAAGGTTGAGAGTTCAATTCTAGGTAGCAGCAGATGTTATACAGCAACTGTATTAAATGCTGAAAGGGGAAGACAGCCATTTCATCTAATTCAGGTCATGAAGGGGTCTGAGGGTACTAGGACAATCCAAATAGATCTGTATTCCAGTGGTAGGATTCAAATATGTGAACAATCGGTTCTCTGTGTGGATGCTGCTTCTGGATGTCTATATTCTGGGCCTGGGCAACAAAAAATTAGCTACCAGTTCTGCCGAAGTGGTGCAAACCGGCTGAATCCCACTACTGCCTGTATCCAAAGATCTAGTCTTCCTAAGATTTTGCTACTTATTTTCCTGGCAAAGACTAAAAGAACTTTTGGCTAGAAAGACTTGGCTGTAATTTGAGTTCCTTGAATTTAACAATTTTTAAAGGATAACAGAGGCTTTGGCTGCCAAATTCATTCCCTCTTGGAAGTTGGGGGGGGGGGCATCAGTTTGTCTAGTTTTTGGGTGATTGGCTGTTATTATATCTTCAGCTTCTCAGTATGAAAAGGGGATTTGGGAGTGCAATGGGTGATTAAGAGGTTGGATGAAAAGATGGTGTAGTTTGTGTCTAAAGATACCAGTGAGGTTATGGATTTACTTAAGGATTAGATGGGATTCCTGTTACAGAGTTCCCTATGTATAGGAATCTCCCTGACCCTGCATATGATGCCATATGCAGACTGACAGTGGAGTTCCCCAATCTTATTGTTCTGGAGGACTTCATCCTGCCATCCATGTATCAGACAAGGGCTGGGAGTTCATAGTCATTCTAACAACAATGCACTTGATCCCTTATTACAAACTCAAACTACAGCAGAAGCATATGATGGACCCAGTCTTTGCCCCACGGGTTATAGTACAGCAATCTCTTGTTTTGAACAAATAATTCCCTGTTAATCCCATTTTTTTTGCAGTAAATTTACACCCTTTCTGCTGGAATTCTAGACATATTCAAAAAGTCCGCTCTTGGTGCATAATGGAACCACTTGGGTTTCAGATGGAAGGGGTTTTTCTCTGAAACTCTGATATATGGTATAAGTTGGTGATTATAGTTTTAGGTTAGATCATACCTATGCAGACTCACTGTGTGCAGGCCCCAGTGTATTTTATGGGTTACTGAGAAGCTCTAAAGGATGTAGCAGCAGAAGAGGTATTTCTGCTGATTATACTTAATTGTATTTCTCTGTTCATGGCCACCTAAATGAAGCTGTTCTGTCCCAGTGTCTAGACACTGAACGGGAAGGGGAGTCTAGATAGTGAAGAACAGGTTTGGCTCAAAACCACCAAGACTGAGATGCTAAAGATTTTGAGCCCACACAATTTTGTGTTTCATAGGTAACATTTTAGGTCAGTCCAGGAGATTGTTTTGAAAATTTAGAGGGAAAGACAACTGCTGGAAAAAGAATGAAATTGTATGCAGAAGGAACCCATTATTGTAGTCTGGCACTTTTCTCAAACTATACAGTAAGCATCAAGATGTTGGAATGTTTTTAAAGTGCACTGTATTAAAAATCTGTGAGGATTGAAAAATTCAGCTTTTGCAAAATATCAAGGTTTTCCTTCCCTCTCTTCTCAGGTAACTGAATTGTCATTTTTACAGCTGGACCTTTTAGGAGAAGAGGAAACCTTGTGCAATTTTAACATGGATGGAAAATAGCAGATTATTGACCAAAAATCTGTTTCCTTCTTGCTGACCTGGAAAGGTATCCTATTTGGCATGGAAACTGATTCTTCATGTTTTTAGAGCATTTGGGTGGTGAACCTGCCAAATGCACGCTCTCAATCAGAAGATAGCATCCTTCGAAGAAAAGACTATTTGCCTATTTATAATTAGTGTTGATTGAAAAGTCAGTATTTATTTTTCTGATTTTTATATTTTTCTAAAAAAAGATTTAATGATTTCTCTCATGGTATGATCCACTGTAGCGATAAATTCAGGACAAATCTGGATAGGGAGTTTGTTGCAGCGTGTTTTGATGAAACGCATAAACTGGGCAATTATGTTCTTGGAAACCTCATCTGGAAAGATAGTTGCCAACTTTTTTTGCCACTCAGATTCAAAGTCATAATGCCGAAGAAGAAAATTATTAGTGGTTGACAAAAAATCAAACGAAGGGGGAACAGAGGTGGTTTGTTCATGATGCTCCCAATGTGTCTCATTAAACAATATTATATCAGGTAAGAGTTCATCAGTAGGAATTTGGGAGTTGCTTCCTCCAGTTATTAAGTGGCTGAGCGGGTTTTCCTTTCTGGATTCCTCAGACTCAACTTCTTTCTTGATAACTTTCTCTGTGTTTTGTTCACTTGGAGTATTTTCCTTTTTTGCCTGCTCGGTGATTATAATATGTTTTACATGGCTGGGCCTTGCTGATCTGTTGGTGGACTTCAGAACAAAGACCACCTTACCAGCCCAGTCCTTATCACTATCCTCCACTACAATAGAAGAAGTCAACGGAGGGAGCTCTGTTGGAAGATGTAAAATGGAGCGCTTTTGTAAGGAATGACCTGATGCTCGATGAAGCCTGTTAAGGGAAGAAACCTGCTGAGGCTTCCCTATTTCTTCACCCATAGTATGTGAAGTAGGTTTTACTTGCTCTCTGGCAAGTTTTCCAGTAGTTTTTGCAAACCCTCACCTTTTTCTTAGGAGTTTAACAAATTCTGTTAGATTTTTTCCAAGCCAATGGTCTCTCTGTAATGTTTCCTGATTGCTCTTTAATCGTTCCAGAGGGCTTTTACCTGAAGTAGGTTTTATTTGTTCTCTTGCATTTTTCCCAGTGGTTTTTGCAAATCCTCGTCTTTTTGTTAGGAGCCTAAGAAATACGTCTTCTCCTGTTGGATGTTTTCCAAGCCATTGACCTTTCTGTACTGCTATATAGTGGCTCTTTAACCTTTCCAGATGGCTTTTAGTTTTCAAGCTGATTTTAGCAGAGGGTTTTGAAATTTCTTTAGCCAATTCCTCTTGGATTGCCAACTCGTGAGTTTTCTCTTCATATTCTATATTTTTTGCTTTGGGAGCCACCTGTAGCCACCTCTTATACTTTAGAGGCACTAGTCCCCTTGCCCACTTCCCCCATTTTTCAGCCACTGCAACTGAAGCAAGTTTCCCTTGCTCTCCTGCAGGATTTCCAGTGGTTGTTGCAAATCCTCGCCTTTTTGTTAATAACCTAAAAAATAGGACTTCTTCCCTTGGATTTTTTCCAAGCCAATTATTTCTCTGTACTTTTTTCTTATGGCTCTTTAACCTTTCCAGGTGTCTTTTAAACCTCAGGCTGATGTCATCAGAAGCTTCTGAAATTCCTGTGTCCAGAATAAGCATATTATCCAGACCAGCAGAATTGGTAGTCTTTCTGCAGTTAATATTTGAAGCTGGGCATAGATTTGGGACTCCATCCAACCTCTTAAGAGGTATCACTAGGATCCCAACTAAGAAAAGTTGTGTGTAGCAGAGATGGCAACCCATTCTACACATCTCCTTTTGCTCATTTGACCCCAAAATGAATGCCTTAGAGTATGGCAGCCAACATTAGCGGTCACTCTTTGTGGTTACTAAGCAACCACATGTCATTCCATATGGAGGCTTCAGGAGAAGGCCATGATATTCCAAGGATGCTGTTTGGTTGTGACATCATTTTACCATAATTGCTGATATCATAGAATTGCCAGAACCATGGCAACAAAATAGGTAGAGGTCTCTTTTTTATATAATGAGTTGATTTTATGAGATCACTCAAATATTTGCATTTTTTGGGGGGGGGGTCAGCATCACAGTGGGGAATATCATATATTTCAAAGGGAAATCAGATTGTAAGACCTGGCTATCATTCTCCAGCTACTAAAATACATTATTGCAAATTACGTAAAGCTAGAAAAAAGGGGGATATGTAGTGAGGGAGGAGGGTAGGAGCACTTAGACTTATATACTGCCCCTTAGTGCTTTACAGAACTCTCTGAGTAGTTTCCAATATCAGCATATTGCCCCCAACAATCTGGCTCCTTGCTTTACTGACCTGGGAAGGATGGAAGGCCATTGAGCCGTTCCGTATCAAACTCCCGACTGTGGGCAGAGTTAGCCCGCAATAGTGCATATAAGATAAGCAGAAGAAAGCAGATAAATTATAAACAGAAATCCCTGTGCAACATTCAGCTATCTTCCTTCCACTCAAATTTATTTATTATCTTTGTGTCACATTGGAAGCAGCCAAATTTTGCTTATATAAGTACCATCTGTGGGACAATTTACAAGACCCACAGTAAATCTAAAAACATAAAATCAACATTGAGAATATTAAAAATGACTATTCGGGAAAAAGATGCAGTAATAGCAAAAAATGACCCTAAATAAGTTAAAATGTTTTCCAGAACAGCTTGTTATTTAGAATATTAATATTAATAAGGCTAAAATAAGGAAGTATGGAGTATTTTTTCTTTTGAAATGTAAGGATAAAAGTTGTGGTCTTAATTAACTACTTTTAAAATAATCCATAGCCCTGTGTTGTGTTGTGTTGTGTTGAGTGGTTGAACTTTTCTGATTTTCATGAACCCTGATTGGCTAGAAAATAGGGTAAATGAAGAAATAAATAAATAATATTCTTTGAGCACAAGAAGGAGCTACGAAGATATTTAACTCTGAGCTGGAATCTGTGGTCAAATCTTTGAAAAGTCCATACAGAAAATCATAAATCAGTTAGGGGTCAAAGATACTAATTATACAGAGGATATTAAAAAAAGAACAAGAGACACATTTAGGTATAGAAAATCACCAACCTATTGTGTCAACTCTACAAATGTGTGTAATGCAAATAATTTAACTGTACCTTTGGAATACAAATCTGACACCAGCTTTTATTATGATGATGGTTTGAATATAACCCTCCCAGTGCAACTGAAAGAAGAGTGCCAAGTAAACTCACAACTTCTAAGAGGTTACTTTTGGGACTTTTTCTTCATGGATACTTTGAGAAAAAAAGATATGATAGACATCTTGGAGAAGGAAACTTTATTCTGGGGATTTACTCCAGGTTAATCTACAATGTCTAACAATTCAACTTTGAAATATTTTTTCATATATATAAATAAGGCTAAGAATTTCTTGAAGAAAAGAGGCCGATAGACACTCTTGAGAAGAAAAAGATTTCATTCTATGAAGATAAGCTGGAGGGAGTGACTTAAATTTAATGATTTAATTAGTTAGGATGGATTTTTATAAGTTTGATATATGTATTAAAAGAAAACTTTAAGGTAGTTTTGTATGTATAAAATGAGTTTGTAAATGCATGTCTTGCTGAATAATCTCTGAAGTTTGTAAAATACTATTGATTAAATTTGAAAATAAGAGAAGAAAAAGATTTACTCCATGAGGATAAATTCGAGGGAGAGATTTGAATTCATTGAGCTAATTGGAGTTAATTGAATGAAAGCTCTAATATAGTATTGCGTTTTGGGTTCTGAGTTTAAAATGAAGAGGGTTTTTTTTCCCCTTTACATATAATACTTGAGTATTTTTTAAAGTTAGTAAAATATCAAAACTAGAAAAAGTGTTTTCTCCCTTTAGAGTTAAAAAAAAAATGAAATAAAATAGAGGATTCTCTTAATATCCAGAGACAACTACCGTCCTTCTAGAGGACGCTCAAGAAGGATCAGAAGTGGATCCCGAAGAAGAGGTGGATAGACTTTACCAGCCAGCTGAAAGGAGGCAGAAGGAAAGTCCGGACAAGGCCCCAGCATCTCTTCAATGCTTCAGATGCAAAGGACGCCACAAGCGAGCTGACTGCAGGTTCCGATCCGCCATTTGCAGAGCGTGTGGCAGGCAAGGCCACATTGCATCCATCTGTTTGGGTCGCCAGAAGGTCAAACCTCGTGAAGAATTGCGTCTGAAAGGTACCAGGGTCCCCAGCCAACATAGGGTGGGTTTCTGTGAATCACGCAGAAGTTATTTTGAGGACAGGGACACATAAACCCCTTAAGAAAAAGCTTTCCCTTAATGTAAGGCTGCAAGGGGTTCCCTTATCAATGGAGTTGGACACTGGGGTCCGTTCTTTCCATTATTTCTATTAACACATTCAAAACGATATGCAGCAGCAGTGGCCTTTGAGTTAAACTCAGGCCATCGAATCTAATACTTACAGATTTTCTGAATTCTACGGTGTGTGTTAAGGGGGAGGCCACTCTTAGAATACAGCATAAGGATTTTGAAGGTCCCCTAGATGTGGTGGTTGTTGGGGGTGAACGTACAAGTCTTATTGGACTCGATTGTTTCGAGGCTCTGGGAATCCAGGTAACTGGGCTGCACCATTTGCAAACTTTGTGCCTGGCAGAAGTCTGAAAGGAGTTTGCAGATGTGTTTAGTTCAGAGCTAGGATCCTACAAGGGGCCCCCCATTGTGCTACGGTTACACTCAACTATCACGCCCATCAGGGTCAAGTCTAGGAGGGTACCTTTTGCCCTGAAAGGTAAAATAGATGCTGAGCTGGACAAATTGCTCCAGCAAGGCATTTTAGAACCTGTAGATTCTACCTGTTGATGAGGCAGCTGCAGAGGCCCAGACTATTGTAACTCACAGAGGGGCAGTCAAGGTCAAGAGACTGCAATTTGGGGTAAATGTAGCCCCTGGCATATTCCAAAGTGTCATGGAGAGCACACTTCGAGGTATTCCTGGGGTCTGTCCCTATTTTGATGATGTCCTCATTGCTAGGGAGTCATCTCAAAATTTAGCAGAGAGATTAAGGGCTGTTTTGCTTCGTTTTTGAAAAGCAGGCCTTAAATTAAAGAAGGATAAATGTAAGATAGGAGTCACTTCTACTGACTTCTTAGGATTCAGGATAGATGCTCAAGGCATTCACCCTGCTGAAACTAAATTGCAAGCCATCCAGCAGTCCCCAAGTCCTAAATCTAAGAATGAACTGCAAGCTTTCTTGGGGCTATTAAATTTTTACCATGCTTTTCTCCCACATAAGGCTGCAGTGGCAGAGCCATTACACAGGCTCTTAGACAAGCAGGCTCCTTGGCAGTGGACTAAAGTCCATGACAAGAGTTTCAATGAGGTTAAGGCCTTGCTCACTTCTAATGCTGTTTTAGCTCATTTCAATGAGCAAATGCCTGTTTGCATCGTCTGCGATGCATCTCCTTATGGGGTGGGAGCTGTACTTAGCCATCTGAAGGCTGATGGGACACAGGTCCCTGTGGCCTATTATTCAAGAACTCTGTCTTCTGCAGAGCGAAATTACACTCAAATTGACAGCGAAGCCTTGGCTATAGTGGCTGGCATTAAGAAATTCCATGATTTCTTATATGGCTGCCATTTCACAATCTATACTGACCATAAGCCTCTGCTGGGTTTGTTTACCACTAACAAACAGACCCCACGTATTATTTCTCCTCGTATGCTGAGATGGTCCATTTTCCTGTCAGCATATGACTATACATTAGTCCACAAACCAGAAAAAGAAATGGGCCATGCAGATGGCCTGAGCAGACTACCCCTGAACCAATTGGAGCCAGATCCTCCTCCAGCTATTACTATTCTGTCCATTCAGGAGTTGCCTGAGTCTCCCCTCAATGCTAGGGACGTGGCTGCAGAAACTGCCACTGATCACACGCTTACACGCGTGCTGACATGGGTGTTGTCAGGATGGCCTGACAAGTGCCCAGATACTGAGTTCCAAAGCTTCTGGCACAAGAAGCATGAGTTTTCTACTTTCAAGGGTTGCCTGTTACGGGGTAGCAGGGTAGTGATTCTAGCCTCATTGAGGTCTAGAATCTTGATCTCTCTGCATGAGGGACATCCTGGTATAGTTAGGATGAAAGCACTTGCGCACAACCATCTTTGGTGGCCTGGACTCGATAAAGCCATCGAGGCCCAGGTGCACGAGTGCCAAGTGTACCAACAATCTCGGCCTGAAATGCCTCAGGCCCCAGTACATAGGTGGGAGGAAACTCAAACCCCATGGTCTAGGGTGCATATAGATTACGCTGGGCCCTTTCAGGGGCAATTCTTCCTGGTTGTTGTTGATAGCCATTCCAAGTGGCTAGAGGTTGTTCCTGTTTCCTCCACTACTACTGCCAGGACCACCCAGGTGTTGAGAGGAATTTTTGCATCACATGGCCTCCCAGATGTTCTGGTTTCAGATAATGGCCCTCAATTTACTTCTTCTGAGTTCCAGGCTTTTCTTCAGGCCAATCTGATCCGGCATGCAACATTGGCTCCCTTCCACCCATCCTCCAACGGACTGGCAGAGAGAATGGTGTGTACCACCAAAGATGCCCTTAAGAAACTGACTTATGGTAACTGGCATCACAGGTTAGCAGATTTCCTTCTTGCACGCCGCATCACACCATGCACTGCCACAGGGAAGAGCCCTGCTGAACTCCGCTGGGGTCGCCGCCTCATCACTAAACTGGACAGGTTGCACCTGGACCGGGTGGCTTCACAGGTGTCACAACCGTGGGCACTTAGGAGACTCCAAGTAGGCGATCCGGTCTGGGCACGGAACTATGGGCCTGGTCATCTCTGGGTCACAGCTATAGTCTGCAAGGTCTCGGGGCTGTTGTCATACGAAGTTGCCTTGGGAGATGGCTGCGTTCTTCGCAGACACATAGACCAACTGCGTTGGAGACTGGACTCTCACCTTTTCGCTTCTGGCTCTGCTCTGGGGGGCAGGAGGACCATAACATGCATTCTGAGGCTCAGTTTCACAGGCCTAACAGGCAATCACCAGCCGCAACTGAGGCTATGGGGAATTCATTCCAAGGTTCTGCAAGTGCTCCTAACAGGAATTCACCGGATAGGGGGTCATCCCACACATCCATAATTACTCCAGACAGGGAGTCACACCGGGGGTATCCACAGTATTCCTATATGTCAGATAGTGCTTCAGACAGGGAGACTGACCGGGGGTATCCACACAAATCACAAGCAGCAAGAGAAAAAGAATTCCAACAGGGGCGCTTGCCCAATTCCGCAATTGCTCCCAAAAGAGTTCAATAGCAAAGGGGGTTGCTGTGGAGGCGACTCCTGACTCTGGCACCTTGGACACGTGCTTGGGGGCCACAGAGTACTGGGGCACTTCCGCTATCCAGCACTCTCCATCTACTGGCCTTGGGTTTGAGGGACAGTGTTCCCAAGAAGGGTCCATTGTGGACCCGGGGATTTCCACCCCTCCAAGGTATGCTGGCTTGGACTTAGAGAGTCCAGCCAGCCAGCAGATGGGTGGGTCAACAGGGTATTTGGGGCAGCAAAGTCCTGGCCTGCCTAGCCTAGTGAGCGAACAGGTAGGCCAGGCAACCTCACCAGGGTCACCTGGAAATTTAGGGCAGCAACACCCTGGCCTGCCTTGCCTGGTAGGCAAGCAGGTGGGCCAGGCAATCTCTCCTGGCCTAAGAAGGTCACAGCGGGCCAAGTGCTCACCCAAACATCTTAGAGAATTTGTGAAGTTGCTGTCAAGTCACAAGGGTTCTGTTCATGAGGCCCCTGGATAACGGGTAGATTATTTTATATTATTTTTTTGATTTCGGATATATTTATTGCTTGAACAAAGTTGGAGGGGTTTTGCCTAAGGGCAGACTCGAGTATTCCACATTCCTTGCATTTGATTAATGAAACTATATAACCCTCTTCCAATGTAGGATGTACATGTGTGGCACAGGTATGTTCTATCTAGGGGGGAGGGGTGTTGTGTCCTGAGCCTGCAGGCTCAGGACATTGCACTGGTCCCGGGCATTCCAAAGCTGCCTGGGACCAGACTGAGCGGTGCCAGCCTTGCGCGCATGTGCAAGGCATGAAAATGCTCTGTTACTTTGTTTGCCATTGTCTGGGTCTCCGGATGCTTAAAAGAGGCCTGCGTGCCTTTGGGGTTGTTAGAGTGTTGTTGAAGAAGAATAAAGAGCTGTTTAACTTTGCCATGTGTATTCATCATTCGCACACGAACAAAGTACTTAACAAATATATTTTTATCTATTGCTCTTTATTTTTAGCAGAAAGAAAGGCCAAGGCCAAAACTGTTTTAGAACAGAACTATTTGTTATTCTGATTTTAGTGGATAGAAATATAATAACTGTTCTACTCTGTGGCTGGAAAGAAAGATAGATCTCTTCAGAAATCAGAAAATGTGGCCTGATCTTTGGCTTTATTATCAGATTTACTACGAAAGATATAACCTTTAGCTTTCCTTTTGTTCACAAAACTATCTTAGGAGTAAAATGGATTCCCGTATTTTCTGGCTAATAGAAATTCCTGCATTTCATTGTGAGAGGCTCACAGGCACTATCTTGTTTCTAGACTGAACTCTATACTGAAGGATTCTTGGACATTTCCCAGTTATCCAAATTGCAAAAACTGGATATTTTTTGAATACCATAAATGCCGGCGTACAAGGCGACCCGGCGTATAAGACAACCCCTGTCTTTATAGCCGGGCCGCATTCCTAGAACGTCGTCTTATACGCCGGAAACTACCAGTATTTCCAGCGTATAAGACGACTCGGCGTATAAGACGACCCCCGTCTTTGGCGCCAATTTCAGCGCTCGCGGAAGTCGTCTTAGACGCCGGCATTTACGGTAATTACAGATACAGGAGTAGCCCAATGTAAGCAAGGAAATTCATTATTCATTCATTCAAACAAACAGAGAAAAGTGCAGTCAAGTCAACAAGTAGATTAGTCTATGGTCTATTTAGAGATGACAATGAAGATTATGAATTAGAGAACGATATCAGCAGCTGGCTTCACAAACTGCATTTGCTCATAAGACCTGCC